CACCCCCCGCCCAAGCCAGTGCCGACGGGAGGGTAGGGCTGGCGAGGAGGAAAATGAGCTTGTTTAAAGTGGGGCGGGGCGCGGGCAGGATCCCGGAGGTTCACTTGCAGTCATCTTGTGGCCTAGCTCTTGGCCTAGCACAAACAGAGCTCCTGCTGCTACTTCATCCGAAGCGTGAAGTTCGTCGCAAAAAGTGCGAGCAAGTTTCTTTAGCTCTCAGGAATGGATTTTTGTTTTTTGTTTTTTTTTGTGTGTGGCTCTGTGAAAAACTGCCAGCCTTTAGGCTGCGTGTTTTTCTTCAGTCTTCCAAACGTTCTTTGAAACGCTTTTGCCAGCATCTGCCTTCGAGAAGTGCCTTGTGTTGCAGAGGGTGGCAGCTCACCTGTACCCCGCTGGCTGTGTTGCTCACTCTTATGTCCCAAAAGCCAAGGGTGGGAAATAGACTTTTTCCCTAGCGTGGATGAGAAGGTTCGGGAGAAAATCCTCCATGGCTGGAGTCAAAACCAACGCTTTTTCAGTACAGTAAAAAAGTGTAGCGTGCTTGCTGGAGGCAAGAGGTCCAGCCCACGAGCAGCCATACTTTCATGTACCAAACAATGAATATCCAGGCACTAAAATGGACAAAGTGTTTTGGAGATGTGTTTGGGGCAACCAGAAGAGTCTTTGAGGAAAGAGCGCCTTATTGGAGATTGTCATTCCAAGCCTTAGTTTCTTTCTGGTTCTGTAGGATGGACCAACTGCAAGTGGAGTCTCATTCTTTGAGATATTTAGGCACCTACTTACCATTATGAATTTGTGGAGTTGAGGCAGCCTCTTAGGGATGTGCAAATTAACGTAAATAATAATAACAGCAATGAAAGTAAAGATGTTGAAGCCTTTTCTGAAGAGGAGTGTGTTTTTCCCCCCCTATTATAACCTAACTCATGAAGATTAATTCACATTTCTGCACTGATAAACAATAATGTTTATAGCTGCATATTCTTCTCTGAGTGATTTTTTCATTTAAATTTGTGTCATTGGAAACGGGATTCAAGAAAAAGTGTGAGGAAAATGTCACTCATTGGAGTGAGCACAGAAGGGTACAGTGTAGCTAGAGAAACTTCCCTGTGCAAACCAGGTTCAGCCTCCCTTAGGAAATTGCCTAAATTTTTCACATGCAGACAAAACTACTTTAAACTACATAGTGGTGAAGCTGGTGAAAGCTCTGGTTTTTGTGACCTTTCCCTCCTGCTTTGATAGGCCCCATCCCTTCCCTATCACATCATTCCCATCTGCTCTGTCCTTCCCTCTCCCTCTATTACAGTCCTCATTCCTCATCACCTCCCTCCCTGGGAAAAAGGCTTTCTCCCATACCACTTTCACCTTTCGGGAGCCTCAGACACGTTGCACAAGCTCCATATTTTCTGTTTGTTTCCTCATTTCTCCATCCACCCTGCCCTCATCCCCACAGGTACAGACAATAACTAAGGTAGCTTTGTGATTTCTACTGTTTCCATTCGTTTATAGACAGTAGAGGAAGCACTGATTAATCATAGAATTATAGCATGGTTTGAGTTGGAAGGGATCATCTAGTTGCAACCCCTCTGGGATTGCAGGGGGGTAGCAGGGATACCTTCCGCTAGACCAGGTTGCTCAAAGCCCCTTCCAACCTGGCCTTGACCACTTCCAGTGATGGGGCATCCACAACTTCTCTGGGCAACATAATCATAGCTTCTTTCTTTGTTTCCCGGCTGTAGATGGAGTCTGAAGATGAACTGGAGGCTGAGACCACCCGGATGGCACAAACATGTGTTGGGAACGTAGACTCCACTAATGTCAAACACGATGTCAAACAAGAAGTGGCAGCTACTCCATGGGTGCGGAGGACAGGGAGGTGCTGTAAAGAGTATTTCTTGCAGTCAAAATGTAAGATTTTTTTCTTTGGTGTTAGGTAAGACACCTTCTGCAGGAAACCTGAAGTCTAGATTCAAATCTAGTTCCAGGTCGCTTGGCTTGGAGAAGAGAAAACCTGGGAGTTTACTTCTAGGCAAAGGTGTAGACACTAAAATTAAGACAACTGTATGTGTTTGGTCCAAGTGTGAACTGGTTATGGTTGATCCTTTTTTGTGAAAATAGGCATTTTTCCATGTGGTAGTTTACCTGTATGAAATACTCTTGGATAAGATGTAGGAATTGAAGCCAAACCTCATTAGAGAAAATAGTTTGTGACTTTGCAACAGATGAGCTTGCACATCTGCCTTGAAATTTGTGTGTGAAGGGATTTGTGTGACGAAGAAAAAATACATTTGATTCAAGACTGCAGCCAGACTTTGAACCTCAACCTTTAATGTTTAAATTGTGTGAGAGCACTCTCCTGTTTTCCAAACATGGATGTTGTTTGATTGGAGTCAGTGATGACCTTATGGGTTCTCGGCCTCCAGAAATTATTGCTAAGAGGTCTGCAAAATGTAGAGGAGATGATAAACTTGGAACTGGAAGGCTTAAATTTGCTATAGAGGGATCGGCACACCTGTGCAAAACTTTAGGGTGTGTACGGAACAAAAAAATGCCAATTAGGTGAGAGCTGGCTGTTTTATCAAACTATGTAGTTATATAGATGTCAGTTCAGAGTGCCCTGTTTGACTTCAGTAGTGCTTTGGATTTGCGTACTTGGAGCTTAAATGAAAGACTATCCTGCTGGTGTCTCACAATACTGAAATATAGTCTCAGCCTAAGTGCTCATATATACAAAACCATTAATGATCTTCTTTTTCACAGTCTGTTTATGCCTGTCTTTTGGGTTCATGCTGGTGCTGATGGTCATCATTGGATTTGGTAAGCTTTTGGAACATTTCCATTTGAGATACTACTGGGCTCCAGGTTCACAGCAGTCAAGCGCACCAACATTAGTACTGCACTGCCTGCAGAGTAGATTGTCACAAAACCTGGACTTCCCTCGCTATTTCAGTTGTTCTGATGTCGATATGAGGTTGAATAACCTCCAGGCAGAATTTAAAAAGAGAGAGAATTCTCCCTACAGATAAAATCCAGATGATGCAGCTGTAAACTTTTTTTTTTTCTTTTTGCTGCATCTTAACTCCTCTTAAGATTGTAGTTTCTTGGCTGGCCATGCATGTGGTGTATGCATGTCTTGTCAGTGCTTAGCACCAGTAACTTACCTGATTATACCAGCTAGTGCACTGAGTCAGCGTCATGTCTCCAGGCATAGACTCCAGGCCTGTTGTGTGGGCTGCTCGTGTACCTGATCTTGAGGGCTCCTTTACTGTCGCACGAGGAAGACAGCTACATAATACAGCTAGCTTATCTTTTTCACAAATAGTCTTTGGGGATCATTCTGCCTTTTTGTTTTTAAAAATCTGTTTGTGCTGCATTTGGTATTTTTAAGAAGAAATCAGCCTGCCTCCCACTGGCACAGCGGAGGCCAGATGTGCTCTTGCTGCCCCATGCAGAGCTCTTCTGTAAGAGCCGAGGCTGTGCTGCCTGAGCATCACCTGTGGTACCCAAGTCACGGGGTGCATGTGTGTCTCAGTGGAGCCTCCGCAGCCCCATCTGCACAGGGAGCTCTTGAATCTCTGCATTAAATATGTCTTCAGTCTGCTCCCTGCAACTGCGCGAAGTACGGCAGTGAGGTCCGCTGCACGCACATGGAAACGAGCGACGGGCGATGGTGACATCTGCCCCTCTTGATTTTCCTTTGCTTTGTTAGGCTGTTATTTAAATGGAGTCAGTCACATTTTCTTGGAGGGGGTGAGGGCAGTGCTCGCGGGTGACTTGCTAAGGGGTCTCCAATTGTATATGGCAAAGAGAGTAGATGATTAGAAAAGAAAAGAGAGCAAGCGTGGCAGCAGCAGGCTGCGGAGTCTGGGAGGTAATTCACTTCCTGCAAGCCCTTCTGCTCACATAATGGCCAGTTACTTTAATTTCAGTATGAGCCATCTCCAAGCTTAAGCAATGGAAAAATGCACTTCAGGTGCAGAAGGTATGGGTTCCAGCCCAGCAGGACGACCCAAGAAATACACTTTATATGCTGGGTGAGCCTGGGTGTGTTACAAAAGACGCCATGCTGCGCTGGAGAGGTCACTGTAACCATTCAATAACAATCAGGGCAGATTATTTTTGTTTGGAAAGTAGAAAACAAAGTAAATGCATATTAATTGTCTTCATTGCAAGAAGTTAAACTCAGCACTGAAACAAAACATGCCAGTGAATCCTCTGACCCTCACAGAGCTACTGTGACAGAAAGAAGTTGAAGAGAGGGCATCAAAACACGCTGGGAAACAACTTCAACAAACCATTATCCAAACCACTATCTCCAAATAATAACTTTTATCTCTTCATTAACAGATAAATTTCATTAGCGTCATATCAACACTTAATTTCCTTACCTTCACACAGATCTATCAAACACAAAGGTCTGATACAAAACCAAAGCAGCTTGGCTTGATGAAATATCTCACCGGTTGTAGATATTCAAGCAACTTCATTACTTAAAATTAATTTCATAATAAATTAACAGTATGAGGCTTATTACCCTATTACTGGTTTTAAAACATGTCAAGTATAAATTGTCAATTGCCAATGCCTCTAATCCTCTAAAATTCAGGAGTGTTTTCCAAACCCTTATTTTCTACTGATAGTAATAATTCAGCTGCAGCCCCCAGCTTTTGCATTTCTCAGCTGAAGACAGTGCCTGAAAGGCAGGGAAGGTCAGGACCTTTGCCCTTCCTTTGACTTCTCTTCTTGCATCTGGTGTCCATTGGCTTTCAACAAATATACATTTTAGGTTGAGTTATGCTGATGAATGCTAAGATTTTGCCAGGTAGAAATTTTATTCTCTCTTTTCCTTTGTAGTTGTAAAATCTGAGACGTCTTATCACAGAAAATTTCCTCCTGAACAATGCCCCAACGAGTGGATAGGTTACAAAAAGAAATGTTACTTCATCTCAGAGGAGGAAAAAAACTGGACATCTAGTCGGACGTTCTGCGCTAAGAATGCATCCTTGCTAGCCATTTTTGAAACTCTGGAAGAAATGGTAATGGGGAAAAAAGCCCAACAACAAAACAGAACACAACTTCTGTATCTTTCGCTTTCCTTCACAAAGCTTTCTTTTTTTTTTTTTTTTTTTTTGCATGCAATACTGACCCTTTAAATCTTCGTAACACAAGTAAGCTGTGTGAATTCAGGTGGAAAAGTACCTGCGCTGCCACTGTGAGTAGCTGCCTGGCTGCAGCTGGTGCAGCAGCAGTACCAGCCGCCCCACTGCTTTGGTGCCCGGATTTGACCCGAGTGACTATGGAAAGCTCTTTGTTACGAATCAGGTTGCCTAGTTTTACTTTTCTGTCCTATGGACCTTCATCTTCAAAGCAGGTATGAATCTGTCCAACATCCAGTACCAACAAATAAATGGGTACTTTGGTTTCTATAAGAAACCAAACATGTAAACCCATTTCTCAGCATAGTGGAAATTACCCATCTTTATCTGCTTGCATCTGTTTTTAGATATGCCTTAATGACTCTTAGAGACGCATGCTTGTACCAGTGGTTGGACTATACCCCCACTGACGCTGATTTGTACATTTTCTCATGCTAACAACTTTGTTAAAATACTTTGATTTGCCTGTATTATGGTCCGGTTGCAATGAATCCGTGAATGCTAGTGACATCTTACTACTGCATGCTACTAAAACTGTAATACACTTTTACAGATCTGCTGTCTTTTGAGTATTGTCAGTGAGAAACTAGTTTAATCAAAAAGTTACTTTATAGATAAGATTAACGTTTGAGCTTTTTGCCGTAATTGTTGAGTAGAGGTCAAAAGGCTGCTTTTACGGTTGGCTGGTACATACTAGTGGTGTAGCAGATACTGAAATGGAGGAAACCTCAGTGAAATTACACAGATTAAGTCACACCTGAATTTGATTTGAGCTAGTAAATATTTTTACGATGACAAGAATTTCAACAATGAGAAAGATGCAAGGCCTCACACATGTGAGTCCCTTACTGAATGTGGTCTCTCTTTTTATCTCACCATCAGACTCCTTTTTTGCCAATAATTCTAGCCACATTTGCCAGCTTGCCCCCTCTTCACAAGCCCCTTCTGCATTGCTGCCCTGTGAGTGATCACCTCTACCAAATTTGTAAATGCCTCTCTTCCTTAGGCATCTAAAAGCTTCACTTCTAATTCCATGCCTGTGATATTCAGCTGATAATTGGCTAGGCAGAAATTGGTGTCATTTAAGCTGCTGCTTAAAAACCTTATACCTACAAACTGTAAACCCAACTTATGAAAGAAAAGCACGGGAACACTGACATTGGCCTGCTGGGTCCGATCAGTGCTCGGTGGTGTGTGTTGTCTGGTCTCCAGCATGAGCCACACCAGAAGAAGGTACACCGAAAACTGTAGAAAGGGCACTGGGACCATACGGAGGCAGTTTCTTCTGAACTGTATTGGATTGAAGTTGCTAGGGCAGTATGGAGGACTACAAGGGTGCACTCTTCCCAAGTCCATTAGAGTCCATGCTGACAGCTAATATTTATCTCATTTTTAAGTTCACTGAGTCTAATGATAGATAGCTGGTTGCCGGGAGTTCTGTAATATTAACCCGTCGCAAGTGCTGTTTCTGTTATCTTCCATCATTCTTTGCTGTGTCTGATGCAGGTTGTTGCAAACTTCTGAAGCAGTGAACTGTCATTTACTCTTTTTATCTACACATCCACAGATGAAAAATTTTAAAATTAAATTACATAAATAATAATTGGGAAGGGGAGGGGTTCCCGTATGCCAATCTGAAATGCAGGAAACACCTGTATGTACCAGCCTGTTTAGACCAAGCTGCATATGATAAACATATATAGACAGACACAACCAATACGTGGTGTTTGGGTATTGTTGTGTGTAGTGAACAGCAATAATTTTCAAGGGTATAGAATTGAATAACTTCACTGAAGTTTATGGTGCTATATGGGTCAATTCAAAGGCAGAATTAGGCTCTTCTCTCTCAATGAAATCCTTATGAAAGTGTTCTAGGTGACAGAATGATGAGCTAGTGCTCCTCAAAAGTCACAGGAGGAATTTGCTTGTCATTTCAAGAGCTAATGTTGAGAAAAATGCCTTTTTTTTTTAGCATTCTTTAGCTAAGCGTTTGAAAATAGATGACTCCTGGATTGGATTGCGCAAGAAAGGCGAACGCTTCTACTGGGAGAACGGTATTGCCTTGAAGGTGGACGTGTAAGTTCCTTGTGATTGTCTAACATGTACTTAAGCAAATGTACAGCTAGGGTTTACAGATCAGTGTTATTTCTATCAGGATTCTTTTTTTTCCTGTGATTTATAACTATGACTCTGAAAATGAACTCTTTGCAGTTATGACGGATCTAACTCCAATAGCATCAATCTAGAGAAGTCCCTGATTCAAGAAGGGTTTTTTGGTAGCTCAGCACATGAAGATAATGTTATTGATCATCCCTATTTACTTTAATTTATACATATTTTTTACTAGGTAATATAAACTTTTCAGTATCTTTTCAGATATTCAGAATTCTTCGTTTCTAATGTGATCCTTTTTGCTCATCTTCCTGAAATACACAATATCTAGCAAATACACATACATTTTTTAGGGGTGAAAGAGAATGAAGTGAGCAGTGTGGGGGAATAATCATCTTCAGATGGATTAAGCAGCTTCATAAGAAAAATAATACCAGCTTTAGTGAGTTTGGCACAACCTGCAGATAACCTAGATTTTCCCCCTACTTATATTAGAAGATGTGTGGGCTGCAACTCCCTGCATCAGGCTCATCAAGCAGTTCCCCTTGTCTTGCTCTCTGGGACATTTATGACCTCAGTAATTCCAGGAAGGATATATCATAAGCTGTCTTTTGTCTCTCCTTCCGTTATTGTATGATACTTGGTATGGACCTTTCATAGACATAGAGATTCTTTTAACACTGCATGAGCTAAACAGGCTTTTCTAACGTGATTTATCACTGACCTTGCTTTTAGCAGCTGAAACTACCATAACACAAGGGACCAAAGTCAACTGGAAACTACTTCAGCAGAAGTTTTGTTTTACAGCAGGCTAAAATATTTGTCTCAAGTCGTAGAAATTATTTAGCAATCACTATTTTCTTCCTGTATTTTTTCAGGTTCCAGATACGGAATCACTCTGAGTGTGCCTACTTGGATGCCTTCGCTATTTCTACATCAGCATGCTCTTTGCCGAGGTGCTGGATCTGTATCCAACTTCCGTAAAGGGATGACGTAGATCTTTATTTGATATTGACAGTTAAAGCATATCCATTGTACAGTCACTTTGGATTGATGGCAGGCCTGCTGTGGCCATGCTGTCTCGGACCACCTGGAAGCTTGAATCAGAGAGAAGAGGTCTTGTCTCAGCTTCCAAAATGTGCGTCTAGGTCTTCTGCCTTAGGACAGCAGAGGATTGTGCTTAGTCCAGTTTACATGTCACCTACAATGGAGTCTACCAGTGCTGGCTGATGAAGCTGAAGGTTCAGTGGGATTCCTGCTAGCCTTCTGATAAATAACGATCTCTTTCATGTTCACCTTCCTCTCAGTATGTAGCCTTGGGGATACATGGCAGCCAGAGACACCAGTCAGCTAGTGGAAAGGCAGAAACAGTTAAATCAGGGCTCTTTGTTTTCTCCAAAAATGCCTTGTGCTCTTTGCTGAACTTCTTACTGACTGACTATTTCAGTACATTTCCCTATCTGCCAGTCTTCCAACCTTGCCTTCAGCCCCCATTTGTCCCTCTTACCTCCTTTTATTTCTGCACTGGCCTCTTGATCTTATATTTTTCCATTAAACTTGTTCTTTTATGTAGACAAGCGTACTCAGTTTGCACCCTGGCCAGTCCGTGGCCATCACTGTCATCAAATATTTCCTGTGGCTAGAGTGACGGGAAGTTCAGTACTTACCAAAGGAAGGGGCTCCTGCCAACTCACGAAGTCTTTCCTACTCCGCCTGGTTTTCGTGTGGGCTTTTATATTGATGTTTACCAAGTTTGTTCGTGCTAAGATTTGAGCTTGTTCAAAAAAGCAATAGGCAGCCCCAGCCCAGCAGGATTATTCATGGCCAGTTGCTTTACTTGCACATCGAGGGCACAGTAATCTGAGGAAAAGGGTATGTTCAGGGTTTTTTGCACCCCCTGGAAGCAGTGTTTTGTCTCTGCAAAAAATATCCTGCCACTGGAAAAGAGAGTGTGGCGTTGACTGATCACAGAATGCAGGAAAAAAATGTTCTGAGCAGACAGCGGTGGCAGACTGGGGCCTGCCACCGTTTGCTGGTGCCCCTCTGCTGAAGCTTTCCAGGCATCGTCAGCAGAACCCCTCAGCTGCTGCATTCCTGGGGTGGATGTGAGGGGTCTACATTAGCTTCTCACAGTTGTGCTGTGTTGCAGCAATCTTCTGCAATGGGTAGAACAGGTCGCTGGGGGCACTAATTTGCTTCAGCGAGATCTGCTGGAATTTCTGTTGGAGCCTTCAGTTGGCTGGTTACTGGAAGGACATTAGCAGAGGGTTGTGCATTTCTCTACCACTTGCATCTTACCTGCTAATGATGATAGAGTCATAGAACCCTTTAGGTTGGAAAAGACCCTTAAGATCATCAAGTGCAACCATAAATGGTGTAGCAGCCTGGTAAGAAATTCCTATAAAATGACCAGTACATACGTGGTGCTAAAGGTGACCGGCTGTGTCACTGAGTTACTTTTTGGGATGCTGTGTGTAGGGGACACTAGTCCTGAACTGGGTCCCACTGATGCCAGCTTCACACCCAAGTGCTTCCACAACCAACTGCACTAAGGTTATCCCTGCTTTACACTGGTGCAAATGAAGTCGGAGCGCATACTCTGCATTTCAAAAGATGTGCAGATCGCTGTGACCTATGTAAATAATTTATTTTGTACAAACAGAATACTAAGAGGAATGTAATGAGTCTCAAGGACTTGCAATGTGGAAAGCTTGCTTAATGAGTTCCTGGAAAGGGGCTATTTGAGAGAGGAGGAGGTATAAGACAGTTTGGGGCTCTTAGCTGCTCTAACTTGGATGTTCCCTCTGGGATTCTGAGGCAAAAAGGTAACCAAGAACTGGTCTTGAATAAACTGCACTAGAGTACAACTGCAGATTTTGTTTTGTGTTTGCCTAGGCTGAACTAAGCTTTTTTCTGTTACCAAAGGCCTTCCCCATGTTGGCCATTTTCAGGGATCATTCTTATTAAAAGAAGGTTTGACTTGAGATCAGCAGCCTTCAGGCAGCACAAGCAGCTGGCATGCCAGTCAGTGATTTTGCACACAGACACTCTCCTTCAGCTTGTTCTTCTGAAATTAACGTTCAGGATCAGGAGCTGAGGACATGTAATACATGTACGCAGAAAGCTGCGAAGGGGGGAAATTATCTAAGAGTCACTGATACAGCAACAGTGACACACTCAGACAAGCCTGTGTTAAATAAACAAGCATTGCAATAACTGATTCAAACATTTCTAAACCGAGACGGGAAGTCTTAAATGTCTAGTCATGCGTGATTCCGTGAAGTTCAGCAGAATTGTGATTTTTCTCATAGGTTCATTTGTAAGTTGTGTAAGACCTCATTAAACAGATCCCTTCTTTCTTGCAAATATCCCAGTTTCAGCTATTTTCCAGCCATGCATGGTTAACCTAAAAAATAAGACACTTCAGAGAGATACCAGTCTCAAAGCCAGCAGTCGTTCAAATTAAATGCTTAGTCTCCAAATCATTTCTATTCAGAGGTCGTTGGGTCCTGATTTTTTTGCCCACATTTGAATTTTGCCTCTCCAGAATTATAGATCCTCTTCTATTTGGGGAGAGTCTTTCCAACGTGCACGCATTCTGCAGCATCTTTAACTAGCAGGTACGGTACTATATTGTCATTAGAAAGAGTAGTACTGCAGTGAGAGGATATGAATCCAGGGTGATTGAAAGAAATTCCACCTCCACCAGTTAGAGACAGATGAACAGGGAGCATGATCCACTGCAAAATCGCTGACACTTCCCAAAGACACCAATTTTGCAGGTTACAGAGCCTCACTGAATTGATTTTCCTTCAATCAGAATCAAAGTTGATGCGCTGCTGAAACAGGAAAGAAATGCCTTTGTCCCCAGAACGAGGGCATTTTCACCATGTGAATTATAAATTCTCAGTGTCAAATGAAAGTAAAGCCACTTTCAGAAAAGTATTAATACTTGGACTGGGGAAGACAACACAGAGAGATGACTACTTAAGCATCCAAGGTTTTTAAAATTGTATTTTATTCCTGTATTCTGAATATAGGAATATGATATAGTATATCCTATATCCCACCTTATAATTTGTACCCTATCTATATTCTAAATTTCTGTTCCTGAGCTTCCTCTAGTCTGCCTCATCAGAACCCCAGGACCAGCAAGTGTCAAGGCAGAAAAGTGGACTCCTTCTGGAAAGTAGGAAATAATGTTTTATGTTTTGGGGATGAGAGGAGAAGTTAGCAACATGAGTGGTGGGAAGAGGGAAGGAAAAGCATTGGTTTACACAGTATGGTCCAGCCAACCAAGAGGTCAGAAGTAGCCTGAAGGAGCAGTTACTTTCTCCTCAAAGAAGACAAAGAACAACTGCTAGATATGTCCTTCCATGTTCAGGTGAAAGAAAGGGGTCGGAATGGAGATAGAGGCCATATGGCTATAACCTTGACATTCAGACATAAGCTGGTTCACAGGACTTGCAAGTGGAATGCCCGTGTTGACTCACTGTATTTATAAGCTATGATTAGTAGGGAAAACAGAGGAGACATGAGGAAAATGGTAATGAATGGCGAGGTTTAATTTTATCTGTATGCTGAAGTGGCTGGGAAGCTGACGAAATACAGTTGTCTCCATTTTCTTGTAGCATTAGATGGGCTTGATTTTTTCTCTTTTTTTTTGAATTTTTTTTTGAAATGACATATTGAAATGACATTTTTCTTGAAATGACATATCAGTCATTTTCCCGTAATCCACTCCCGTGGCAATTCCCCTTGGGGCCAAGGAGGCTGAAGCCACGAAGATGAACGACCTGTACAATCCACCTGCATATGGAGCTGAGGCTGACCTGAAAAGAGATGATCTTAATCAGTGAAGTGGTGTACACAGACACCTCCATCAAACCATCAGTGCCACCCTGTGGTTCAGCGGGCTGTGAAGTGTGGGAAGCAGCAGGGACACCCTGACCAGGGAGTCAGCAGGAGGCAGAGTCAAGAAACACAGAGGAATGGGGACAGAGTGGGAGATCCTGCGGCGTGTAGCAATGGGTTTTGCACTGGTAGAGGGTGAGTAGCAGCTTGCCTGCCTAGCCAGCTAAATTTTGAGATGCTCTGAGGCAAAATTCATCACGGGTACTTTCATATGAGATACTTTGGTCCTTGGAGAGTCTGGCTTCTCGCTACTGCTTATAGAGGAAGCCTAGACATAAAAATTAGACCACGTGCCTACTTTTCTGGCACGTCTGGTGATCAGTGAAATAAATGTAGCTCTATTGCCTGATGAACTCCCACTTTCTGAAAACCTGTCCTGTCTCTCTAAATCCTGGTAGCAGCCACTACGTTTAATTTATCTGGCAGCTGCTTATGCCACAAGCAGCGAAGCAAGAAGCAATAATCCTGTGTCCGCTAGCACTAGCTGACAGGTCTCTGGAAGGCATGGTTACAGGAATCCACCAGACCCAGAGGTTTTAGTGTTCGTAAGCTGCAGTTGTGCCCCGCAACCCCGCGCACAACTTCTGCGGTTTGCCGTTCCCAGACCTGAACGGGGTGAACATCACAGCCCTCCCGCAAGACCTGCAGCCCGTGTCGATCAGAGAGGGGAAAGAGACGTGGCCAAGCAGAACCTGTCCCACGCGCGGCACCACCGCAGCCCGGCAGCTGGGCTGTCTCGTTGCGTTACACAGCGGTGTGGCGGCTGCTGGGGCCGGGCTCGGACAAAAGCACCTGCAGTTTTCTCCCCCGTGTCAGGGCTGGGGGCTATTTGCACCTGCAGAGACCTTTCTTCCTTCCCTTGTTGACCCCAATAGACCGGGGGGGTCCCTGGAGGGACCCCGGATGACTCTCCTGGTGGGGGGGGGCGCGTAAAATTCAGTGCAGGAACAAACCCACGTGTGAGAACTGTGCCTGGGGTCTGATTCTCCAACTTCCTATCCCCTCTGTAGGGATTTCTGCTGTGGCAAAGAGAGCACCAGTGGGATGTAAATCGTGGGTTAAAGTACTTG